TTTAGGCCTTGTGCCTACTTTGCCTCACTTGCTCACAGCGTGACTTTACTTGTACTGTGATGTATATATATACCTGCATGCTTACTCTTGCTAGGCTATGATCACTATATTGCTTGTGCTCTTTATATAACACTGCATGTGAATTGGCCTTGTGACCCTTTGGTTGTGCTCGGAATGTGTGGTGACTTTGTGATCCACCGTAAGCTTGCTTTGCTTTTCTTGACTTGTCTTGTGACCACTTGTTCTCCCCCACTTTGCCTATGGGGGTGTGTCAGAATGTTGTATTGCTTACTTTGTGTAGGCTATAGTGGGGTAGCCCATAAGGGGTACAACCCAATTAGGGTTAGTACTTGTACCCAACTATTTCATAGTTCATTCATTCTCATTCATTCTTCTGACAAGAAGAAGTAGAGGAAGCAGAATAACCAGAAGTCACTGAGGAGACACCGGAAGCAGAAGAAGAAGAATCGCTGACGGAGTACGGGCCTCACCTCATCCCCATCACAATAGATGGAAGGGACTACCTTCGCGTCGAGACAAGGGGAGCATCAATTGGCAATACTGACTTCGAAGAAGGGGAAGTCGTGCAACTAGAGGATTGACGTCAGCGAATCATACCGACACCTCCTGAAGGACCGCTGGAGCTTCCCGTGACGATCGACACCTCCACCATCGGAGACATCAGTGGGGCGTATCACGACACGACACTCCAAGCAGCAGCTGTCCACGTCGCTATGCCAAACGAACCTGCGGAACAAGTTGGAAAAGAAACCACAGAACGAATATTAGCACGGGAGAAAGAGATCTACGCACGCACAAGAGGATATGGCCTCGACCCCGACATCTGGCACCAACGATTTGGGCACTCATCGTTCGAAGTGCTCAACAACTGCATCAACGCAAACGTTTTTGCGGCAGGCGCACTGTTGCTGCCAGATGGAAAGCTGCTCAAACCAAGAACTGCCTTACCCAGCTGCACTGTCTGTCCAATAGCCGCGCTGCGTCACACGCCCTTCGCCGAGAAGATACCCGGAGCCAAACGCTACAAACCGCTCGAGAAGGTCTACAGTGACTTCCTGGTGCTCACGGCAAAAGGAGTTGGAGGAGAGCAGTACACGCTTACCTTCATCAACGCCGGCACGCGCTTCGCCTGGGCTGTGAACATCAGCAATTGCTACCTCACCTATCACTGCTTCGAAGTTTGGCTTAGCATGGCGGAGACCTAGAGCGAAGGAAAGAAACTAAATGCGTTTCAAACAGACGGAACTCTGGAGTATCAGACAGAGGAGTTCAAAACCCTCTGCACACAGAAGGGGATCCACAGAATGATTTCCCTCCCCTACGCTCACGAACAACAGGGACTGGCGGAGCGAACCAATTGGAGCCTCGTGACAAAGATGCGAGCCCTCATAAAGCAGTCAGCTGTGCCGACCAAGTATTGGCCCTTCGCGATGGCGCATGCAGTTCGCCTGCACAACATGTTGTCTTCGAAAGCTCTACCCAACAACACCTCGCCGTTCAAGGAGTGGACCGGCAAACACCCCGACACACGCATGCTGGGGGTTCTTGGGTGCATGGTACAGTACCGCCCCCACATTGCCCGGACCGGATAGTTTGAGGACTGTGCCCGTTGGGGCATCCACCTCGGAATCGAATCTGAACACCAGTCCTGGACAATTCTGGACTTCGCCACCCACCAGCTCACGCGATAACGTGACTGAATCTTCTACGAAAGACTGACCCTGCCACTGTACCGACAAAACGCATTGGACAACATTTTCTAGGGACAGCACAGCCACTCCAACGACGAGGATGGCGTTGACGTGGCAAGAGAACAGCCAGACGAGGCAACTGGGGACGAGGCACCCTTCGTACCCATTACGGAGGAGTTCGGCACAGCAACATTCTTCCCAACGGAAATTGATCAACAAGAAGCAGTACAGGCACAACACGAATACGCAAGTGCAGAAATGCACTCACTCATGGAAGAATAACCGGCTCGTAACTCTTCTCGCGACACCATTCGCGACATCCCCGGCGATGATGACGACGTGGTTGAAGTACCAACGTAGCTGAATCCAACCTCACAGGACTTCGCATCCTCGGCCTCGCCGTCGCCGTACGAGGTAACCAGCAGCTGATCGAGCCCACCACCGTTCGCCAGGCTCTCGGCGGGACCGATGCTGAGAAGTGGAGAGCAGCCATTGCCGCAGAAGTCGTTGCACTACAGCGGCGTGGCACCTGGAAGCTGGTACCACAACGACACGCAAAGGGGAGAAAGATTCTCACAAGGAAGTGAGTTTTCATAATCAAAACACTCGCGGATGGGACTATTGACAAATACAAGGCACGATGGGTTGTCCGCGACTTCAAACAAACCCAGTTCGTAGACTACGACAAGACATTTGCTCCCGTTCGACGACACACCTCTGTCCGCATCCTCCTCTGCGTCGCAGCCGTGAAGCAGCGCCCCCTCCACAAGATCGATGTGTCTAACGCCTTCCTTTACGCGATCTTCGACGCAATCATCTACGTCGAGCAACCACATGCATTTGAGGAAGACGGTGACGCCATCTGCCTTCTCCATAAGTCCCTGTACGGGATCAAGCAGGTGCCACGCCTGTGGCAGCAGTACCTCCATACCGTGCTGATCGAGCTCGACTTCCAGCAGCTTCCCCACGATCAAGAATGTACCGCCTCGAATCCCACGGTAACTTCATCCTGCTCGTCGCCTACGTGGACGACCTCCTCTACACCGGCAATAACGCGGAACTGCTCGATCACTTCGAAAGGGACATCCAAGAGAAGCTAGAGGTGACAATCGATCACGATGTCACTCAATTCCTCGGCCTCATCGTCACTCAGACCGCCGACACGATCCACCTCTCCGCCGTGAAATACGTCAAGACCCTTGCTAAGAAGTTCGGCATCGCTCCCGTCGGGATCACCACTCCATTTCGCATCCCTCCGCCTAATCACGAGCCCGACACCACATCGCTATCTCCGGCTGACCACATCGCCTCTACAAGCAGCAGCTCGGGTGGCTGATATTTGCCGCCGTCACATGCCGCCCGGACCTGTCTTACATCGCCAGCTAGCTCGCCCAGTATCTGCGCCGACCTGAAGGGGAGAACATGGCGGACCTACGACACGCCCTTACATCTCTACGCCCGACGTCGGCCTTACCTACAAGGTGAATTTAACGGCTACTCTACAGCTCACCGGTTACGTGGATGCTGATCACGCTGGAGACGCAGACAACAAAAGGTCCCGCACAGGCTTTATCTTAAAGCTTGAGCCTGCAAGAACCATCTCCTGGAACTCACAGAAGCAGGAGCTCATCGCCCTTTCGTCGGCAGAAGCAGAATTCATCGCAGCAAGCGCAGCAGTTCGCGAAGGACTCTACCTCACGGAGCTCCTACAGGAAACGAAGATGGCGATGAACGGGTCATTCAAGTTACACTGCGACAACCAGAGCGCGATCAAGATCGCGAACAAACCCAGCTTCGTCAACCGTACGAAACACGTCGCCCTGCGTTACTTTTTCGTCAAGGACGAAATCGACAAAGGGAATGTCCAGCTCATCTATTGCCCAACTCGCGAAATGGCAGCAGATTTCCTGACGAAGAAGCTACTACGTCAGAAGTTCCAGTACTGCGCTGACCTGTGCGGAGTCGTCCGAAAGAGCCACGTGGTGCACCTCCATGAATGAAGGGGAGTGTTGGAGTATAAAGGGAATTGCGTTTAGCATTCCCGTAGGTGCAGCTGTACTGCACCCGTCACTATCGACGCAACACCTGCAGCAGTATCGGATCAGCCCGTAACAAGGGCAGGAAGGTCAACAGTCGCAAGGGTCAACTGTCGCGACTGTTGACCATCTGGACCGATTGACTCACCATCTAGGAATGGCAACAGGCGTAACCGTCTGTACGGTTACATGCAGTGACTCGGTAACAAGAAGAAGAGCAATAGTCAGAGTCACTGTAGAACTGCCTGTAAAACAGTTAGAAAAAGGGAATGTACCCCTCATAGTACTGTCGAACTTATCTGCTATAGTCTTTGTAGGCTGTAGTGGGTTAGACTATATGGGGTACAACACTTTTAGGTTTTCCTACTTGTACCCACCTGCTTTCTAGTTCATTCATTCCTCATTTCTTCACATGGTATAGAGCAGGTTCCCTAGTGGGAACGCTTCCTTGGGCCCACCACTAAAAATTTTTTTCTGCCCGGAGCACCGGTCGCTTCTGCCCGAGGCGCGTTTTGCGCGCCTTAGAGGCTCCTCTCACGGCCCCTTGTGCCGCCCCTAGAGGCCCCGTCGCCGCCTTTCCAGGCCTCTCGCGGCCCCTAGTGGCTCCGTCGCTGCCCCTACGCGGCCCCGTCGCCGCCCCTAGCGGCCCCGTCGCCGCTCCTAGCGGCTCCGTCGTCGCCCCTAGCGGCCCCGTCGCAGCCCCTACGAGGCCTCGTCGCCGCCCCTAGCGGCCCCGTCGCCGCCTCCCTACCTACGCGGCCCCGTCGCCGCCCCTAGCGGCCCTGTCGCCGCCCCTACGCGGCCCCGTCGCCGCCCCTGGCGGCCCCGTCGCCGCCCCTACGCGGCCCCGTCGCCGCCCCTAGCGGCCCCGTCGCCGCCTCACTCCCTACGCGGCCCCGTCGCTGCCCCTGCGCGGCCCTGTCGCCGCCCCTACGCGGCCCCGTCGCCGCCCCTGGCGGCCCCGTCGCCGCCCCTACGCGGCCCCGTCGCCGCCCCTAGCGGCCCCGTCGCCGCCCCTAGCGGCCCTGTCGCCGCCTCCCTACCTACGCGGCCCCGTAGCCTCCCCTAGCGGCCCTGTCACCGCCCCTACGCGGCCCCGTCGCCGCCCCTGGCGGCCCTGTCGCCGCCCCTACGCGGCCCCGTCGCCGCCCCTAGCGGCCCCGTCGCCGCCTCATCCCCTACGCGGCCCCCTCGCCGCCTCTGATGGTGGTGCAGGGGAGAAACGCACCTTTGGAGGCAATGCACAGATCACTTATTTCTCATGCTCCTCTCCAGTTTCCTTGCTCAGAACAGAACCGGCGGCGGGCTTAGACAGCTTCAGCTCCAGTGACAGAGAAAGGGAAAGGTGAGGAGCGTGTGAGAGGGAGGAGAGGAGAGGAACGCTGGGGAGGGATACGAGAGGGTTGGAGTGGCTGCGAGCAGGGAGAAACGCACCTTGTGAGGCGGTTCACAAGTCCCTTCGTTTTCATGCTCCTCTCCAGTTTCTTTGCTCGGAACAGATCCAGCGGTGGGCTTAGAAAGCTTCAGCTTCAGAGATGGAGAAAGGGAGAGGTGAGGGCCGTGTGAGAGGGAGGATAGAAGGGGGGTGCTGGGGAGGGAGAGGAGGGGATCAGAGTGGCGGTGGTAAGCGGGCAGGGGGAGGTGCAGCAGGTGCAGCAGGCGGGAGAGAACAGTGTCGATGCGAGCTCTGATGGTGATGGATGCATGGCAGTCGAGAGGGGTGCGCTGAAGGTTGATGATCACCAGGTGGGTTGCTAAACGCGGGAGCTTGCTGGCTGGAGGCACCTGGTAGGAGGGGAGGAGAGGAAGGTGGAGGGTAATCATGCGTGGCAGTTGAGGGGCGTCTGTTGAAGGTTGATGATCACCACACGAGTCGCTAAGTGTGGGAGAGTTTGCTGGCTGGCGGCACATAGTGGGAGTCAGGGGAGGGAGGAAGAGAGTGAGGCGGGGCAGAACGGCGTCGATGCGAGCTCGGATGGTGATGGAAGCATGGCGGTCGAGAGGGGTGCATTGGAGGTTGATGATCATGGGCACACATGGGCGCCTCAATCCATGCACACATGGGCGCCTCAATCCATGCACACATGGGCGCCTCAATCCATGCACACATGGGCGCCTCAATCCATGCACACATGGGCGCCTCAATCCATGCACACATGGGCGCCTCAATCCATGCACACATGGGCGCCTCAATCCATGCACACATGGGCGCCTCAATCCATGCACACATGGGCGCCTCAATCCATGCACACATGGGCGCCTCAATCCATGCACACATGGGCGCCTCAAAAGTCATAATGCACACATGGGCGCCTCAAAAGTCATAATGCACACATGGGCGCCTCAAAAGTCAAAATGCACACATGGGCGCCTCAAAAGTCATAATGCACACATGGGCGCCTCAAAAGTCATAATGCACACATGGGCGCCTCAAAAGTCATAATGCACACATGGGCGCCTCAAAAGTCATAATGCACACATGGGCACCTCAAAAGTCATAATGCACACATGGGCGCCTCAAAAGTCATAATGCACACATGGGCGCCTCAAAAGTCATAATGCACACATGGGCGCCTCAAAAGTCATAATGCACACATGGGCGCCTCAAAAGTCATAATGCACACATGGGCGCCTCAAAAGTCATAATGCACACATGGGCGCCTCAAAAGTCATAATGCACACATGGGCGCCTCAAAAGTCATAATGCACACATGGGCGCCTCAAAAGTCATAATGCACACATGGGCGCCTCAAAAGTCATAATGCACACATGGGCGCCTCAAAAGACATAATGCACACATGGGCGCCTCAAAAGTCATAATGCACACATGGGCGCCTCAAAAGTCATAATGCACACATGGGCGCCTCAAAAGTCATAATGCACACATGGGCGCCTCAAAAGTCATAATGCACACATGGGCGCCTCAAAAGTCATAATGCACACATGGGCGCCTCAAAAGTCATAATGCACACATGGGCGCCTCAAAAGTCATAATGCACACATGGGCGCCTCAAAAGTCATAATGCACACATGGGCGCCTCAAAAGTCATAAGAATCCATTCTTGCCTCAATCAAGTTACACTGGCAAGTGAACACAAACAGACTTCCATCACTCAACCGAACCTTGAAGGAGGAGCCAAGGCAGAGCGCCACGTGTAGGCAGAGCGCTACGTGTGACTTTTGAGACGTTTTTTGAGGCGATTTTTTAGGCGCCTCAAAATACGCCTCAAAATACACCTCACTACGTGTGACTTTTGAGACGTCTCAAAAGGAGGAGCCAAGGCAGAGCGCCACGTGTGCGCCCATGCATGCTCGTGATCCGTGCTTGCTACACGGAGAACGTTCAAGTAATACGGGAAGCTTCCAAGCAGTTGAGCACAAACAGAACGCACTTTAAAGGAGGAGCCAAGGCAGAGCGCCACATGTGCGCCCATGCTCGCTTCTCTCGCCTTACTCAACTCCTCATCATCTATCCTCTCTCCAAAGTGCATTATCGAATCCACCAACTCGCCCCTGCATACGGCCCCATCCTCACGCCTCTCCTCCCCTCCCTCCTCCTCTTCCTCCTCTTCCTCCTCCTCCCCTCCTCCCTTCTCTCCTTTCTCCTCTTCCTGCTCTCCCCTGCCCACGCACTCTCTTGTTACTTCATCCTTCACCTCCTCTCGCCTCTTCTGTTGCTTCCTATCCTCCTCTTCCCTTCTATGATTTTCCTCCCCCTCATCCCATCCCTTGCCAGTCGCTCCACTGTAACACATCCTCGCACCACCCTCCTCCTTCATCATTGCATGGCGCTCTTTATCCTCCTCATGCCCCCCCCTTCTAAGCACCACTCCAGGACTTTCGTCAAAATTATCTAAGTCCGTCGGTCCAGGTTCATGCCACTTCCTCCCCGCAACCACCACCACCTCCTGCTTCTCCTCCTTCACACCGCGCCCTCCTCCTGTTGACACCTGAGCTCGCACTTTTGCAGAACTTCTAGGCTTCCGAACAGGATTCTTAACAGAATCTTGAACGGAATTCTGAACACGTGGCACCCTCTGCTGCTTATCCTCCTCTTCCTCCTCTTCCACCTCCTTCCCCTCCCTCTCGTTACACCTGGCTGATGCATCAACAGCAGCGTGAGCTGATTTAGCAGCAACACCAGCACCACTGGCACATGCAGCAGCACCAGCGCCAGCAGCAGCCACGGCAGTGCACAGCCGTCCGGTCTTGTGGCGGTGGTAGGAGGAGCCTCTAGCCGCGGTGACATCAAATGGACGCAGGTACTTGGCCCCACACTCTTTGCACCTCTCCCGGTACACCGACCCATGCAGCTCAGATAAACAGCTTGAGGGGATTCTGCTTCTGGAGTGAAGGCCATCCACTGGTGAGGAGGGAATGGGGAGGGAGCATGGGAATCAAAAGCGGAAGGAGAATCAGAGAAAGTAATTTGAAAAGAAAAGGAGAAGGTACTTGGCCCCACACTCTTTGCACCTCTCCCGGTACACCGACCCGTGCAGCTCCAATAGCCGGTCTGATGGGATGCTGCTTGTAGAGAGAAGGACGTCCACTGGTGAGGAGGGAAGGTGGACGGGAGGGAGTATGGGTAGATGGGAAGTGAGAGGGAGGTGAGAGGGAAAGCACAAGTCTCAATGAGCTTAAAGCACATGTCTCAATGAGCTTAAAGCACATGTCTCAATGAGCTTAAAGCACATGTCTCAATGAGCTTAAAGCACATGTCTCAATGAGCTTAAAGCACATGTCTCAATGAGCTTAAAGCACATGTCTCAATGAGCTTAAAGCACATGTCTCAATGAGCTTAAAGCACATGTCTCAATGAGCTTAAAGCACATGTCTCAATGAGCACCATCACTGTTCCTGCAAGTAACCATCTCCACGCGCTTTATCTCCCCCCTCAACCCACAATTCTGATCTGCATGCATCTGTTCTCTGTGGCCCACATTCTCAAACAACCGTTCCGAGGCACCACGTGTTGCTCGGATGAGGTTTTAGTTTGCACAGACGCTGCCCCTGCAACCGAGTTGACTTTTGAGTTGACTTTTGAGTTGACTCAAAAGTCACCACGAGTTGCTCGGATCAGGTCCCATCCCAGCCTGCAGAAACGCTGCCCCTGGAACCACCCTGTAACAGCACATCGTTACCTATCCACACCCGAAAGCCTTACTCTTTAACCCAACCCAACCCACAGTTACGAGTCACCACGTGTTGTGTTATCCCAACCCCCACCATCGCCACCCTAGCAATGCAACCACCCTGTAACAGCACATCGTTACCTATCCACACCCACCATTCGTACGCCAACCCAACCCAACTCCCCATTCGGCTGCACCCACCGTTCTGAGTCACCACATGTTGCTCTACCCTACCCCCCACCAGCGCTGCCACCTTAACCATCTTTCACGACCCCTTCGTATCTATCTGCTTGCACCCACCCTTCTGCTGTACCCACCCTTCTGCTGTACCCACCCTTCTGCTGTACCCACCGTTCTGAGTCACCACGTGCTGCACTATCCCAGCTCCCACCATCGCTGCCACGCACCTGCAACACCCCCAACCTACCCATTATGCTGACCCCACCCTTCTGCTGCGCCCACCGTTTTGAGTCACCACGTGCTGCACTATCCCAGCTCCCACCAACACTGCCACCGTAACCACCTGTTCAGTGTTGCAACAACCCGATCTTATCTATCTGCCTGCACCCACCATTCTGTGTAACTACGTGCTGCACTATTCCAGCCCGCACCAGCGCTGCCACAGCCATGTGCCCCACCGTGGGCGAAGCTTCCTCGTACTTTCTCCCCATGGCCGCCGCAGCTTCCTCCCACCGTCCCTCCCCCTGCAGCGTCCACACGCCCTTGGGCCCTCTAAAGTCCGGAATGCCTGCTGCTGTGCTAAGCCCTGCCCCGCTGTGAACCACCACCCCCCCTCTCATTTTTATCGCCCCTGCCGCCGCTGCTGCTGCTTCTGCGGCTGCTGCTGCTCCTGCTGCGGCCGCTGCTGCTGTTTGGCTGTTGTCCCTCGCTTTCCCGAATTGCTGGCACTCCAGCACCAGCCGCAGCAGCTGCTGAAGCTTCGCCTCTACTTGCTCCGGTGGGTCCTCCTCCTGTGCGGATGCAGCAACAGGGGAGGAAGGTGAGAGGGCGAAGGGGCAGAGCACGGGCGCAAGTGGGAAGGTGGGGGAGTGCGGGAGTGGCTTTGAGGCGCCTCAAAGCAAAGCTGAATCTTCGCCTTTACTTGCTCTCGGGGGGGGGGGGGGGGGGGGGGGAGGGGGGGTTGTCCTCCTCCTGTGGGGTGACGGGGCAGCGGGGGAGAAAGGTGAGACGGGAAAGGCAGGGAGGGAGGATGCGATGGGGTTGAGGGGGAGGAGGTGAGGCGCTTCAAAAGAACCCCTCTCGTTGAGGGGAAGTTGAAACTTTGACTCTAGGGTCTACCTGCTCCGGGGGGTCCTCTTCCTCCTATCCTGTGGGGATGGGGTAACTGGGATGGCCCGGATGGGGGAGAGCATGACGGGCGGGAGAGAGGAGTGGAGGGAAAGAGAGGGAGCTGTCGGGGGAGAGTGCGGCGGACAAGGGAGCTGTGTGAACCCATATTCGTCGTGAGTATACATGCATGCGTTAAAATGGCCTAGAGCAAGTTACCTACCACCCACGCGCATCCTATAGCTCTTCCCCACTGATTGCACAACCACAACGCTCCATCAATCCCCCCCAACTCCGTTTGGGTCAGCGCTACCACAAGCACCCTAGCTGGTAAAAGATGATACATATTCACTTGTCAAGGTATCAGCTGTGACATTTTTCATGCAGACCTAAAAAAAAACTAACCTCCTGCATCCGCTCTTTCTTCTGCTGAAGCCGTTCCTTTGCTTTCTCCAATGACTGAGAAATCTGCAAAGCACAAACAAGAAGGTTGTTATTCTTTCGCTTTCGGGTCGGCTCTCAACATTCTCTCCAATCCAATGCCTGAGAGAGATTTTGCAAAGAGAGGTCGCCTCCCTCTTACCCACCACCCACCCATGAAACAGCACCCCCGCATTGATGGTGACACATGTCAAATGCTCTTCACATTGCTCATGACACGTGGCACGAGGCCCTGGTTCAAGTGAAACGAAGTACATACAGCAACGGTCACTGGGAGGGCAACGGTCACTGGGAGGGCAACGGTCACTGGGAGGGCAACGGTCACTGGGAGGGCAACGGTCACTGGGAGGGTAACGGTCACTGGGAGGGTAACGGTCACTGAGAGGACAACGGCCACCAGGAGAAAGGCGAGGCTATGGGCAACTATCAACGTCGCATGCGCACCACCCATATGCACTCTGATGGCAACGAGAGAGCAGCATGCGGACCACGGGCCATTTGACGGGCTTTCAGGAGGTGGGAAACCGTGAAAGGGTGTGACACGACGTGCGACGCCATGCGATGCCATGCGACCTTCTCACCTCGCGTGCGATTTGACCGTTTGCTTACAGCAAGCGGCTCTCCTCGTCGCTCCTCGCGCTCTGCGCCTTACCCAGCGCTGCGCGCACCGCCTTCCGCACTCGCCGCTCCTCCGCCTCCGCTAGCGACTTCGCCGCCCATTCCCGCTTCCGCTTCTCGCGCTCGCTCTCCATTGACGGTCAGAAGTCCGTTCGCAATTGGTTAGCAGTCGGTTAGCTGTCAGTAACAGCGAGCGGTTACCAGTCGATCGGCAATAATAGGTTGGCAGTCAGCTAGCAGTCGGTGTTTCTTCACCTAATTGAAGAAGCGGTCCTTTAGCAAATTAAAGGAGCGGTATGTCTACACAGTAACGGATCAAACAGAACCTACTGGCAGAGTGTTTCGAGATCTAGCGGAGGTAGGCGCTGCTGCGCATCGAAGGAGGAATTGACGCGCCGCGCGATGCGCGGCCGTCCACCATTCTCACGCGGCAAGGTGATGTGCACGCGAGCGAGGAGAGGTGAAACGCAAGGATTTTTTTGCCAGCAAGCACACGGACAGTCACGTTGAACCCAAGAGAAACACGAACTCTACGTCATGGAGAGGCGAAAACCAAATAAATAAGAAGCCGCACCCCTGGCTCTCATGACAACTTGCGAGGTGTCGCGTTCGCTGCTCACATCGTAAACAGCCGTTGGCGAGATTGTGCTGACTGGCGATCGACGGCCAGTGTATGACTCTCACAGAAACAAGCGGCTCAGATGAGGGCCTCGCCTGACAGGAAGGGTGCAGCAACTCTTTTGAACATTTGAAAAAACAGACATTTCGTTTCTGTTGCTTCGCTAAAATTACTGCGTAGTCCAGAGTGCGGATGAGTGCTGAGGAAACTCGGCAGCAAATATAAAGAGCCATCCAAGTACACATCAGGAATAGCAGAGCAGATAAGATCTCAGCCTCATACTGGTGTGCGAAGGGCAAACTTTCGCCTGTTCAAAGCTTGTACGTATGTACCTTAACCAATCTTATGAACTCACAGTTGTCGGTCGTATTGGTAACTGAAAAATAAACCCCCGAAGCGCATTACAGAAGCTGGCATGAGCCAGTTTGAGAGAAAGAAGGAAACACATCGAACGAAAACATATTCGATGCTCATTATATCAGACTCCGGATGTTTCATCTCGAACCAAAAGGCGTGTTCCATATCAGGCCAAGGTGTCATGTCATTTCATCTCAGACAGAGGGTGTCATCTGCTCTGCCTCTGTCCGCAGGGCCGAGAAGAGCACTGATGACAGGTAGCGCTCGCCAAAGCTGGGCAGCACCACCTGTCACACACAAAAAAGAGAGGGGGGTTTGGGAGGAATGGAACAGGGTGAGGGAGGATTGTGAGTGGGAAAACAACAAGAGCACCGACGACACGTAGCGCTCACCAAAGCTGGGCAGCACCACCTGTCAAAAGAGACAGGGGGAAGGGAAGGAGGGGTGAAGGAATGAATCGGATGAGGGAAGCATGTGAGTGAGGTAAACCGAGAGCACTGACGACAGGTAGCACTCACCAAAGCAGGCCAGAACAATCTAGGTGTGCCAGAGAGGGGGAGAGGGAGGATGGAGCGGGAGGGAGGGAGTGTGAGTGAGAAAGGGCGAGAGCACCGGGGAGTGGTGGTGGTGACCTCCAAGGTTGAAGGCACAACATAAATTCCTCAGAGGAAGGGTGAAAGAAGAGAAAAGAGATGCAAGCGGAGAGAATTTCGAAATTATGCGGTGCGAAGAGCGGAGTGGAGAGAAGTGTGAGTGGGCTACCCGCAAGAGCGTAGGAGAGTGACAAAAACACACTCAACATGATGTATGGTGGTTTTGCAAGACTTGCGAGCAGGAAGGTTACCAAGGGTTACTCACGATGACCATTCGCTCTGGAGGATACTGAGAAGCTAGTCAGACTTGTCAAAAAGAGGATACAGAGAGGCACTCACAACAATAAGCTTGCCGGCATTCTCATAAGCGAGTCAGACTAGTCAGCATACTCAGGAGATCAAGTCGTTCTTGAGGATACTCAGGAACGAGTCAGGCTTGTCAAGAGGGGGATCCAGAGAGGCACTCACAACAATAAGCTTGCCGGCGTTCTCAGGACGCTTGGCCACTTGAAGCGCCGCCACCACCGCCGCTCCTGACGAGATTCCCACCTGCACAGAGAGCAAACGACAGAGAGATGTGATTTCTTCGTTCTAACTCATTTAAGATGGGAAAGAGAGAAGGCTTGCAAGAGGGACCAGAGGTAGGATGGTGGCGTACTTGACACGTGGTAGGGACGATTCTGAGGATTGACAATGGGGGAAGAAGAGGCAGCTGCTCTACGAGATGAGGGAGTTGACTCAACAGTCAACTTCTGCCCTGACAGAAAGATGCTAGAGAAAAGGAGGGGACGAGGAAGAGATACTCAAGTAGAGGAAAGGGGGAGAGGGAAAGGCAGGTGGAGAGAGCGCACCAGGAGCCCCTCCTTGACTGCAAGGTTTCTCTGGGGCGACTCGTGAGATGTTCGGCAAGGGAGGAAAGAGAGAGAGATGGGCTCAGAAAGAGGGGCATTCGAAGGCGGAAAGCAGGTGGAGCGAACGTACCAGGAGTCCCTCCTTGACTGCAAGGTCCTTGGCCATGGCCACCGAGTCATCACTGCTCACCTGCAGAGAGGACGAGGTGGAGGGGAAGACAATGGAACGTGAGGGGACGAGGAAGAGGAAGGCACAGGATTGTGAAGCGTGTCAAACACTGCAAGGCCCTTGGCCATGGCCACAGAGTCATCACTGCTGACTTGCAGAGAGACGGGAGGCGAGATCACATACCCCAAAACAGAGGGCATGGATTCTTAGAACTCTATGAACGGCACTCTTAGGAGCACAAAGGTGGACTTCCTCCAGGCCTAAGGTGTGCCTCCAGACCTTGTCGGCGCTCCTGGACGCCAACATCCAGCATGCCCTGGAGCATGGATGCTCACAAGGCTGCAGGACATGATGACGGTTTCACAAATCATGATGGCATGATGTGCTATTCATGAAACGGCAAGCATGCACACTTCGCACCGGAATGACCTCGTGTAAGAGTCCCATGTACAGAATTCCTGGCGCGGCAAGACGGCTGTTACGAGCACTTAAATGCATGGATGGCTGTTACGAGAACTTAAATGCATGGATGGCTGTTATGAGCACTTAAATGCATGGATGGCTGTTACGAGCACTTAAATGCATGGATGGCTGTTACAAGCACTTAAATGCATGGATGGCTGTTCTTTCACAGCTGTGCTGATGGTATGCAAGCACGCAAGCAGGCACACTACGCACCGGAATGACCTCGTCCAGCAGCCCCACGTCCAGAATGCCCGGCACGAACCCGGCTCCAATGCCTTGGATCTTGTGTGGGCCTGCACAAGGCGAATGCAGGAATATGCGGGTAGGTAGGTGTTAGTACGTGTATACACAAAAGTATGCACCCGCACTTGGCACGAATCCGGATCCAATGTTCTGGATCTTGTGCGGGCCTGCACAAGGAAAGTGAGAGAGAGAAACCAAGTGATGCGGGGACACAAAGCCACGTCATGTGCACAGTCATCATGTGCTACGTGCCATGTACAGTGACCATGCTTCACGGGCATGAACATGTACAGTAGAGGTTGGTGTGGGAATGTCACCTTGACCCCTACCTGCCTCACCCCTACCTGCCTCAGCTCGTACTTCCTCTGTCAGCCCGTACCTCCTTCGTCCCATACCTGGCTTGCCACCGGACAGAATGGCACTCTCCTTGGGCTCCACACCGATGATCTGCAGCACATGGCGGGGGGTGTGGGGGGAAGGGTTGGGGGAGGGCGGAAGGGAGGGCGGGGGGGAGAGGGGGAGGGGAGAAGAGAGGGGAGATGCGGGCGAGAGGGGCGTCGGGGACGGGGGAAGAATGGCGCTTTGCTTGAGTTCTACAATGATTGAGTTCTGCCACATTTTTGAGAACGCGGAAGAATGGGTGGGAAGGGGAGAGGCAGGAAGCGGGACGGGGAAGAAGGAAAGAGGGAGGCTAGTAGGAAAAGCAGACAGAAACAGGTTGCTCTTCAAACGCCCATACTAGTGCTGACATTGACGCATACTAGTGCTAGCAAACCCTCACCTTCCCTTTCCTCCCCCCCCTCCCTCCTCCCT